CCCCCCCCGCCACCTCTGCGATGCCCTCCCCCCCCGATCCGCAGCCCCCCTGCTATTCCAGCCCTGCCCCCCCAGCTCTGCGATGCCCCTCATTCCTGATCCACAGCCCCCCTGCTATTCCAGCCCTGAGCTCCCCCCCGACAGCTCTGCGATGCCCTTCACTCCCGACCTGCAGCCCGTTATTCCAGCCCTGCCCCCCCAGCTCTGCGATGCCCCTCACTCCCGACCTGCAGCCCGTTATTCCAGCCCTGCCCCCCCAGCTCTGCGATGCCCTTCACTCCCGACCCGCAGCCCCCTGCTATTCCAGCTCTGAACTCCCCTCCCCGCCCCAGCTCTGCGACACCCCTCACTCCCGTCCTGCAACTCCCCACTCCCAGCTCACAGCCAATCTCTTCTACTCCAGTGCTGGAGGACTTGGGGACGGAGAGGGAAGGACTAGCTTAGTTTCTGGATCCCGTGACGCAGGGAGATGGAATCACCACGTATGATGCACACCGGATTCCTGAGGTTTGTTTGGGGGGAAGGAGATGACCCTTCCCAGGGACCTGCCTGACAATCCAAACACCATCCATCCCTCAGGCACTGGCCGGAAGGAGCTGGGACAGTGCGAAAGGGCGTTAGCCGGATCTGAACCCCACGGGACTCCGCCCATACCCCAGGAACAGAGGCTGCTGGCACTCAATGGCCACCGTTCTCCTCCTGGCTGAGAGACACTTTCCCACCTTCCCCTGTATCGGGAGTCCCAGGGTCAGTCCCAGCTTGGAAGGGTGACACCCCCCACCCAGCCCCATCACCTGGGGAGCAGGACACCCTGCTCTTTGGGAAGGGGGTGCAGGGGAAGGAGGGTCCCAGATGACCCGAGGCAGCTCAGCCGCATCCCCGACACTAGCACAGAAATGAAAACAAAGGGGATCAAAGCTGAGAAGCGTATGGAAAACCTGCCTCTGTCAGCCGAGCAGCTCACGCTGGGGATAGAGGGCAAAGCTGCAGTGTCATGGTTACAATGAGAGCTGCACACGCTCCCCCACGCCTGTCCTTCCAGGCCAGCTGGGCCCCTCCCCGGTGCTCTGCACGCACTGCTGCTCCTTACCTGCATTTCCGAGCTGTTTGTAAAACCGATATTCCAGATGCAGCTGTGGGGCTCGGGATTTTATCGGTTCCTGTGGGAAGTGAGAGAAAGAGAGAGGAGGGAAGCAAATGAG